AAGGTAACAGGGACAACCTCTAAGAGCTTTTGAGGGAATTAAGCGAGACCGCACATTGAAAGCACTGAGACTCACCCTGCCCAGAGAACGCTCAGACATTTGTTGCGAGAATGAATGACAGGCACTGCCGAGAGGGAAGGAGTCGGGGAAGGGCTGCTTCCAGGCCCAGGAGCACATGTTCACATCACTCCTCACCCCGTCTCATATCAGAGCCAAGATTTAAGAGATGAAGGCAGGCCATGTGACGGATAAAGAAGGAAGTGGGGAAAGAAGGCGGAACCAGACATGACCCAAAGGCTCAACACTGTTTTCCAGAACTGACCTTGGGAGAAGGCGTAAAGCAGAGCTGTGGGGACATGGCCAGGCAAGTCCCTCTTTCCCTCACTGCCCCCTGAGCATTCTGAGAAATTTTAAACTACCCATCATTTGATATTTCTACCACTTCCTCATCTTTTCTCTCAAACTATAAGTATCAACTTATCTGAATTTTAACCAACGTTTTAGAAAAACAAAATCTCCAAAATTCTAGTGGGCATTTAATGCTCCGACGTTTTCTGTAAGATAAACAGTAAAAATGTCTTTAAAAAAAAAAATTCTTTTTTTTCCAGATTCTTCCAAGTACTCAGAACAACATGCAACCCCTAACTTTAACCTTGTCTAAACCGAATTACTATTTTAACCAGTCGGTATGTTATCACCTCAGAACTGTAATTATGTTTATGCCTTTTGAACAAGCTGATGAAAAGAAGCATTTGCTTAAGGTTCCCATCAATGAATGCAGAGCTTAGGCTAGTCTTTAGCTTATACAAACGTTATGCTTATTAATTCAGAATATTCATTCAGTTATTGAAACATGATGACAAAACTGTACAGTGAAAGACTGATTCTCTATTATCCCTGTTAGCATTGCACAGAAATCCTTTGGCTCAGGAATAACTGTCCAAGCCTCGGGATTCATATATCTCTTTGAATTTTTAAAACGGTGATTTAGGTATCAAAATTGTAACATCAATGCTCTAAATACACAGGTTATAAATTATCAAAATCAGTCCGTTCTGATTAAGAACTCTTCAGCTGGATTTCAGCTTAAGAAATTCAAGCACTGTCTATGCGGAGTCCAGTCCACGCCGACAACCGCAGCGTCCTTTTTAATTAAAAGCCAGTGAGATGACTCATGCCACCTGTTTCATTGATCCTGCTATATTCCTATTTTGGTCAGAGTTCTCTTTTGAGGATTAAAACTTTTATAAAAACAAATAGAAATACTTATTCAAATTGCTTACTACTATTTCACATCCTGACAACTACATTTCCTACTATAAAATTATGTTTATCTATGTTAATTGTAATAACCCAAGGATTATTCAAAGTGACAATCACAGTGGTAAATGTAGCTGTTAGAAGGGCTAGCAGCTAGAGCAGCTACTGTATACATTCACATATCAATGGAAATAGCCTTTCTAAAATTTGTTATCGACCCATAAAAGTAGATCCTTAAAAAGCTGCCTACTTAGATACATTTCAATGGAATGTTTACATCTCAATAAGTATATTGAACAAAATGAAACATAACAAATCCAGGGAGAAGGGAATGATGAGGGGTGGGGGAAGGGGTGGTCATCATGCTTTTATGGCTGGATCTAGATGACACATGATTAATTGTTGCTGCTCTCTAGACTTTGAGTTCAATGTGGAGCTGATAGAGAGACTTCTGCAGAAGCCCTGTACTCAGACAGCAATCTGCTCCCACTTACAGAGCCTATCAGTGGGATTTGCAGGCTGTCCATGTTATATTGCCTTTTTTGCCATCATTCTAGTCACTAGTCAGTCAGCTGTGAAGACAGGAGTCAAAATAAAGGGCAAAAAAAGTGATGGTGTAACTTCACTGTCTGCCTAGATGAGGTGAAACCTTTCCTTTTAAACATAATAAAGAACATAATCGGTGTTAAGCAGAGGAACCTTTCACAAACCACAGTACCAGAGATTTCAACGACTCCGTATTCTGCTGTTCAGGAACTCTTCCTCTACCATGGATTCCCAGTGGGTTATGTGAAAAACAAGATGTGGAGGATGATTCTTACAGGCCAGCGGGCATGTGAGTCCGCTGGGGTCCTGAGGCTTCTCTCAGAGATCTGGGGGCAGTCACTCCCTGGTGGGCAGGCGATCAGGCCTTGAAGGAGTCCTTGGGGGCACCCAGGGTAAGAGTTTGGGGCTCTGGGAACTGTGAGAAGAGTTAAACAGAACCCAGAACACATGACGTGGCTTGTGGCCTTCCCCCCAAATGCAAATGAGAGTTTGACAAACGGAACCTGCAGGCACCCAGCTGAAGTCTTAACACTCAAGCAGATCTTTCTGTGAAATGCATCCCTCTCTTCACCACATCACTCACATTAGCCTGTTACATTAAGTCTTTTGTGTTTTCCCTTTTGCTGCACACATGACTCATACAGGGAAGTAAAGTGAGCTGAGAGTCCAAGGGCACTTTTGACTAGAACCAGGTGAACTGTTGCAGTTGCCTGGGAAACCTTTGAAGACAAGCATACTTGATATGTCAAATATCTGAAGTTAACATGAGCCAAAGTCATCTAGAAGGTAACTCCAAGAAAGCTAATGGCATAAGAGGGATGCTTGGCTTGTAAAAGTAGTTCCAATTTGTTATGTGCTCATGAACTTTTGAAAAGAAGAAAGGATTTTATCATCCTAATTAGCCTAGAAGAGCGATGGTCTTAAATGCTAACTTTCAGATTACAAAATAAAATTTAGTGAAAAGACATTTAGATCCCCTAAACATTTATGCATAGACCATGAAACTAGAGTTTTATAATAACCCCGGAACAAAATATAACATGTTCCCATAGAATTGTCCCCTCAGATTCTTTGGAATTTTGTTCCAGTGTAGCAGATTTTTCTTCCAGACTGCAAGTGTAAAATGTGTGTCCAAGGTAGAGGATCACAGGTGTTTTATTATAAAACAAAGAATGTTTTCTGTGGTAATTCTGAGAAGAAAAAAAATTAACAAGTAAAACAATGGGCTTTCATTTTGCATCTAGGACATATGCATTTAATGGGAAACTTTCTCAGCTTCACTTTGCTTCGAATGCTGTGTTGTGTAGGGATTCTTAAGCAAATCTGAATCTGTGATTTTTGCGATATTTTTATCAGAAAAAAAAATCGCTCCGAAAAGTCGCATAATGAAAAGCGATGCACATGACGAATACCAGGCTTCGCATAGACTTTTGTCATCCAATAAACGGAAAATCGAAGTGAAAACATCTCTGATGACCTCAGGGAATTAAAATTCTGTCCCTTGCACCTCAATCCTTCCATACGGAGGGGCCCTTTTCGAGATCGGCATGTTTGGGGAGTTTTGTTATTATGTCAGAGATCTGTGACTCTGCAGGAAGACGCTGGCCAGAAAGAAAATAGCGACTTTTCATGCAGGTGTCAAGACGTCTGCTCGGAAACGCCTCGGCGCGTTCGTTGCTCTGCACTGCCCTCTGCTGGCGAGCCAGTGTAAACGGTTTCCGGAAAAAACGTCCCGCGCGGCCACCGTGTCTAACCCCCGCGTTTCCACCCCAATTCATCAACGCGTTGCTCAAAGGTCTGGATTTCTCACGTGGCGATGCACAGAGCCGACCTTTAATTCAAATCGTTTAAAGGAATAATCAAAATAAAGGGTTTTTTTTTTATCCTGGAATTTTTTATTTTCATTTCGTGTTGGAAATACAGGTTTTCTCAAATGACGCACAGTCACAAACGAAGGACTGTGTCTCACCTAAAAGGTCTGGTTACACAGTCAGTAAGAAAAATGAGGTTGTGTTTGAATACATGTAACGTAGGACTAAGAACGGCATTTTCATCTTGGCCGCATGATCATGGCTTACAGAAGTGTCATTTCTTTGGCATACATTATTTAGATGGGTCTCAGGGAACCATTCCCGCCAAGTTGACGGCGACTTATCTGAAATAGTTAGAAAGATCAAGGCTCCGAGTTGTATGCGACAAACGCAGCCACCAATTGCGGGAAGATCAGAAGCTCCTCCCGCCTGGAGCTCCGCTGTGAGCCTCACTGCCTGCGCCCCTCCAGTTACAAGGACTTTCCTTAACCACAGTCACGAGACAGAAAACCACACAGGCCTGAGAACAACGGCTAATTTCTACGCGAGCGGGAGAAACAATCTCGTCATAGTGCGAACATTCTGTGTACATATCGTACCAAAATGAAAGTGGTTATTATGCTTTGCTTAAGAAACTCAGCGACAGTCCCAAGTACTGCGTAGTGACCAATACAATCTTTGTCCCTCTGAACCTTCTTCAAAACACCCATTCAAAAGTCCAAAATAAGGTTCATTTTCAGCAACCTAAATTAGCTAGAGATTTTTTTAAATCTTATGGCTCCAAGAAAGAACCATGAAGTTTGATTCCTCAGTGCCCGCGTTCCAGTAAACAGACATATAGCATGCATATGCTGCAGGTCTCCTATAGCGACACACAAATGGTTCAAAGTACTCAACGTGTCTCCATATTTGATGCTTACTATGTGAAAGCAACAGATGTACTTCTCATCTGAGCACAGAAGAAGCGATGTTTTAAAAAAAAAAATTCTAAATAGAAGATGAGTCAGTCCCAGTGCAAATATAAATCTAAAAGAAATTCCATGCTGTACAAGTGACGGTTGCAATATTCAAGACATTGACTTTTTAGCAGAACTGTCTGCCGAGTATCATACTCAGCCGGATGCCCTCGACCTGGTGAACATGTCTTTGGCTGCTCCACAGCCGGCATTAGAAACGACTCAGGTGGCCACTGATGGCCACGGGGGACCCAGGGCTGCCATGCCCATGCCCAGGAGAGAGAGGGGCAAAAGGTGAGCCCTCCTTCCTCCCTCTGCCCATCCAGCCCCAGTGGTACGTGTTTCCTCTCAAAGCTCAACCCAGTGTGACGTAATAATAAAAAAAAAAAAAACCTAAATGTACTTTTTCCAATATTTTTTTTCTTACCTTTACCTGGCGAATGTCTACAGGTGTGTCGAAAGTTATCTTTTCCTGGATGTGTTCCAAAATGCTCTTATGCTAATCCTCTTAGGATTTCTCCACGCTGCCCCATTCAGAAACTTTATTATTTTCTAAAGAAGGAAACAAAATGTGGCATGAAAAATTATCATAAGAAAATCACTGATTGTCAACCAAACCCACACAAATGCCAAACCAATGTGAATATCACCTTCCACAACGCTACCAGGCACTGGTTTTTGTGGGGGGTGACGCCAGGAATCTCTCTTCATGTGGCTTTATTACAAGCCATGGTTTCTGAGACGTCAAACACCCACAGTTACCTCAACCATTTTTTTCTCCTTACCTCTCGTATTCCCGTGAGGTCACATTCAGTTAAACACATCCTGCCCTTCTCCCTACAAAAAGGTTCCATAGAATCAGAACGCAGAGGCGCTGCAACTTGCTAACTTTGCTCTGGGTTATTTACCAACCGCACAAAGAAAATGCTGTCTATTCAGAACTCATTTCAAAACTCTTTTCACTGAGGGTGAGCGAACAAGCGGGCTCATGTCCCGAGCCCGGTCACATCTCCAGCGGTCCGGTGATGGCCGTGGGGCCGGCGCCGAGTGGCACGGCCTCTGCGTTGACCCACAAGGGTCTGTTGTCCACGCCGCGCGGACCACACAGGCCGACGGGAGTCAAGGAAGGGGGAGGGGCGGGGGCTCCTCCACTTTCTCACCCCGAGTTTCTTTGCTTGTTTGCCCCAAATATCTGTCGGGAGGCAGCCCTCTCCCCTCAAGGCGCCTTCATCCTGGGCGTGCAAGATGTCCCTGCAGTGACAAATCCAGGCTCTGCTCGGTGGGCCTGGGTTCGAGGCCCGACCTCATCACTGGGTTACGGCGTGTGGGTAGGTTGTTTAAACCACCTGGAATCCAGTGTCTCTTTGTGTGGCGGTGATAGTGATTGTACCTGGCTCACTGGGTTCGACGAGTAACTGGATTTTAGGACAGACTCTGTCTCTCTCCGTGTCCAGCTGAGGCTGCACCAGGCAGACCCCTCCCTGCGTGCCACAGAGCGCGGAGCAAACAGTCCAGGGACTTCTTTAACGACTCCGGATCCCTCAGCCAGATCACGGATACGGAAAAAGCTCAGATTAGAAAGAGGCGTTTCTAAACGGACCTCCTTAGCCTCCTGTCCCACGTTCCCAAGGCCCATGGAATGGGGGTTTCCAGGCTTTTTCCTGCAGCTGGGAGACAGGAACCGGCCACACAAACCCAAGCAGACCATGCGGCAGGGTCTGTCCCAGAATCTGCCTAAGACAGCGGACGAGTTGGCAAACAGCTTTGGGGGCAGAGCCGGAGGCCAGGGGCGGATGCAGGCAGCACAGGCTGCACCTGCCGAGCGAGGGTGGGTGGAGGAAGGAGGAGAATGAGAGTTCCAGGGAAAAGTTGTGTGTCCTCGGCCAGCAAGAGAAATCCTGTCCAACGTGTGCAACCAGGGATCCTTGAAGGTGGGAGGAGACCCAGGCAAGAAGGGGCTGGAGGGCATCCACTGGACAGCCAGGGCTGAGGAAGGTATCGTATGGTCCAGTGAGGACCTGAAAGAAGGGAGATAGACCCACCAGGAATCAGGGAACTGCAAGAATAAGGGAGCGGCCGGGGGCTTCCAAAGCTTCAGCGCTCCGGAGAGTCCATCATAGAGGGCTGACCCAAACCGTCTGCCAGATCAGAAGATAGGACACCAGCCAGCCAGGTCAGAAGAGGCTGGAGTTCCCACCTCTCCTTCCTGCATGCGCCCAACATGCGCCCTACGACCATAGCAGCTGTGCTGAGAGGGCATGGGAGCAGGGGCAGGGAGGCAGCACAGCCTCCTCCTCCTCAGCCTCCCCCCTCACTGCAGGCACGCAGACAGGACATGCGGGGGGCCGAGGTAGCTAGGCCAGGGTCAGTTTCTGATTATTACATGGGACCAGACACTGTAAGTGCTGAAATGCAACTGCTTCTGTGATTCCAGTTGACCCGAAGACTTTCTGGATTATCTCAGAGTGGCAGAAGAGCCATGGGCCTGCCAGAGTTTTCACCCAGCGGTCATGGAGGTTGGTCCGGATGAATAAAGTTTACCAGAACAAAAGAACAAAATTTAGTTGTATTTTGTCTCTGTTTAGTTGTGGTTTTTTAACATATCAATTACTTGAACTGCATATGATAAACTCTTCTGCTAGACTGGAAGCTGCAGGAAGACAGAGACCCCGCGATTTCTGTTTCTTGAGATTTCTCCAGAGTCAAGGACCCAGCCCATGGCAGCCAGCTAGCTGTATTGCCTGTTCTTATTTGGTTGTTTTGTTTTAAGCTATGCCTATTCATTGTAGTCTTTCTAGAGTAATCTAGGTCAATATATTTTTGCTCTAACTTCTTGACTGCCTCTAAGACATTCCTAATACTACATTAGTTTTTCTTTATGTACCTTCCCCAAAAGCTCTCTCTCCTCTCTCTCTCTCTCTCTCTCTCTCTCTCTCTGCCCCTCTGTCTTTCAAACAACCTTATGTATCTGTAACATTATACCTTATTTAGAAGGCACAAGCTGAGTCTTATGCAAGATTTGATAGTTGGTGATCAAAAGAAGACTAATCAAAGAGCACCTCAGCAAGCTTGCTGGAGAAGCTCAAGGCACATCACAAAATCCATCCGGATTTTCTTCTTGTGAGTTTCTCTTTGTGGATCCACATTGATCTTTTTTCCAGAAAAAGAAAAAAAGACACCAGAACTTTTTCCAACCGTTCCGTTCCTTTTACACCCTACCCCATCCCACATGCTAAAGAATTTCCAAGAAGGGCCTCACCAGCTACTTCTTCACTCTGGGTTGCAGATAAGTTCAAGTATTTTGAATGGCACAGAAGTGATTTCTCTTTGGCCAAAAGAGAAACTCAGGGGAATGAAAAAAAAAAATCAAAGGCAAGCCTACTTGTGAGCTTCCCAAACTGAGCGCGTTTGGGTGCAGCATATGTAGTCTCAGTTTTGGAAACCACAATATGCCATTCATCCCTAACTAGATGACGGGACAGAAATGTTGTTACTGAACCAACCGAGGAAAATATGCTTGCTGATTACCCAAAACAAACTTGCAAAATTCAACTTGCAGTGCTTCAAATTTTCAGATGGGAAAATTCTTATGTATAATTTTGAACCATTTTTTTTCACTTGCTAAGTGAAGACGAGGCACATTTGGAAAGATGGGCTCTTACCTGATAATATATGAATCAAGAACTAAAACAATGGTTGCTTAAGAAAATTCCAGAATAACTAAGCAGAATCCCTTCCTCAAGATGAGAATGGGTATGTGTGGAGAAAGAGTGGGTGGTGTCAAGGATACCGACATTAAAACACAGACCTTTGGGGCGTGTGATTTGGTTCAGCCAATGAAACACAAACTATGGATGCCCTTTGTTACTGAAAACCTTTTATCCGTTCATTAAGGAGCCCCATTCACACCGCCTCTCTCCTGGGCTGTAATGCAGTCTTCTCTCCTAAGAGCTGATGTTGAGGCCCAGGTAAAGCTGACAAAGTAAGCTGAGGAATTTCCACTGGGGCCACGCCAGCTGCACTGCCTTGGTAGACACAATGGCAGGGCCTTCCTACTGAGGACAGCGTCTTGACTTAGCTCCTATCTACTTTCCCATCTCTCTCCTCATTGAGAAAAAAACCATAAAAGAGACTCTTAATCTGTCCAAATACAAATCCTACTTATTTGTCCATCAGTTATCTCTGGACTTCCAAAGCACATCCACAAAGGATTTTATCTACAGGTACCTACTGTTGAGGGCTAGAGGCTTTGGAGAAGTTGAATTTGCCATAATCTACCTATACACAAATACTCATCAGTCAATAGGAAGCTATTACCATGAGCAATGGTGGAACATTCCAGCAAGATGGCAGAATCTAGACAGCGTTCCACAAAATGTGCTGTGAGATACTGAATTTCTGGCTGCTTCAAAGTGTTTATCACTCGCTAAAATGGCCATTTTATTAAGTACTCATTTTTTAAAATATTACAACAGTCATACAGTTGTCTTCTATTCAGAAATAACTGCTGCCTAGGATTTGGAGTTTGCCGTTTATTTGGTTTGGGTTTTTCCCCTGGAATACTAGATTTATTTGAATCAGAGAATGAACAGCAAAGGTTGACCTAACATTTATCTTCAAATCGTGGCTCCTAGAGGAGTCAGTATGACAAGATGATAACCTAATAATTATCGGAGGGGACGACATTTTCTCTAAAAAACTGCGCCCAAGCAAAATAGGTAATGATTACTCATGCTCGGATTCCATAGCTTTAATTATCAGCTTTCTGAAGATGCCTTTTGGAGGCTGCAGGCAGCACTGGCAAAGATGAAAAGAAAAAGAAAGCGTTTTGCTGGCAACTTACAAAGTACAACTAGCACTCCCATCTCCACCGCGCGGCAAAATGCACAGCCTCGGCAGGTCACGAGGGATCAGAGCTACAGAATGGGCGTGAGGAGCGGGCTGGGCCACAGCGGCCACGTGTCTCCAGCACTGTGAACCCAGGACGAGGGAGCCCACACATTCCTGATTCTTTTCCCTTGAACTATGCCAAATTTTTTTTTAATTCTTTGAGAAACCCGTGGGTGGGCACAGATGGGAAGTGGGAAGCTGCAAAAGGAAGAAGATGGTATTGGAGCGGAGCGCGGAGCCAGGAGCGCCTCTGTAGGCGCGTCCTCGAACACCCAGATGGCAGGGCCCTGCGCTGCGCTCCCCGGCCCCGCCGCCTCCTCCGCGCCCCCTATAGGCCGCCAGAGCCGAGGAACCGGGGCCCAGAGCCGCCACCCCAGGCCTGTCTATTGACAACGCTAAGCCCACTGGCTGCCGCTCAGCATGCAACCGGTTGCTCCAGGCACACAAGAAACATTCCTAAAAAGCAGCCTAGGATTAAAAGGAAAGAGAGAGTTGGTGCTGCTCTCCAGTGTGATGAAAGGCTTGTCGCTTTATCATTGTTGCATACGTGCAATTTGATGCCATTAATTTTAAAAGCCTCTTTACTTCTCACTTTCAGGTGAGCCAGGAACTCAGCTTAGGGAAGGGGCTGCCCTCTATGCATCCAGAAAACATCAAAGCGGCTGTTTCCTAATGAAGTCCCAGCAAAGGTAGTCGACTTAGGAAACGTTAGCGCAGCCTGGAGACTCTGCGCGCAGCACACGTGCCAGGTAGGCAAAGAGGCCAGAGGAAAGCAGGTCGGCCAGGCTCGGAGCAGGCTGTTCCCAAAGCTGGGGAGGGGAGCGGTGCACACTGACGCACTTATCCTCTACACGTAGGTGAGCCCGCACGGAGCGGCCCGTGACGGTAATCCCTGCTTTCTGCTCTTTGGAAGAAGACAAGCTGATGATGACGAGGAGGTTTTGACGACAATTAAATTATTAGCACAAGGCAGCTGCAGGAAGCTGCTCGGTGGCCGCCCTCCAGGACCATTTCTCAGGCTCCCTTGCAGCTCGCGGTTGGTAGGGGCCTCTCCCACACCCACGCTTCCCTCCCGTGGTGTGAGATGGGGAGC